GATCAAGCTATATATTCGTGACCATAAATATTCTTCATGAATAAAGCAATGAGGGTCTGGCCCAGAAACCATCTTACCTATTGTACAGTAATGCATTTCCCTCCTGTAATTCAGCTTATCCTTTGTTGACTGTTACCTAAATGTACCTTTCTCAACCTAATCATTCAAAATTTACTTCTACCATAACAAATAGTACAACTCTTCTCCTGAAGCAGAGTCTCAGAATAAAGCAGTCATTGCCCACTTTCCATTGCTGTACATGTCAAGACCTGATTTGTACTTTGAACATCAATTTTTTTCTAATTTCATTAATCCACATATTTTAGAGCAAATGACTCAGACATCATCAGATGCCTACTGGGGTTATTTCATGAAAGCATTTTGCTGACCCTCAGTCTGCTTCCTCTTTGCAGAATACCATCTTCACCTTTGTGGCTGCAAGTTTGAGTTAAACCTGTCGACATGCTGAATGTTGTCACATGGTGTTAAGCACATAGTGGTCAAGGGTGTGTGTGGGAGGCAGGACTACTGGGTTACTGTGTTCAAACCCTAATTCCAGCACTGGCATTCATCATCTGTGTGACCTCCATCAAGTAGTCTAACCATTCAGTGACCTTAGTTCCCTTATCTGCTAAGTGCAAATAATAATAGATAATATTCAAAAGGTTCTTGAAAAGATTTGATTAAAGACTGGGGCATGGTTCTAGTGGTATCACTCTTGTCTGGAAACTGCAAAGTCCTAACTTTAAATCCCAATACCACCACCACCACTACCACCACCACCACTAAAATACAAAAACTAAACAAAAAGAATTAGCTCATAGCTATAATGTAACTACAAGTATGCCTATCAATCAGTAAATATTAGCTATCATTTTGATAAGGTCTTTTGTTATTTTGTAATCAATATTATATAGAAATAATTATTTTGCTTTTAGTCTAAGAAATAAAACACTTGATTGGTTTTTACAAAAAAGCTAGTGTGCTTTGTTTGAAAATGATGTAAAGGCCCCTGTGGCTTCATGTCTCCACTAGACAAAGCTGCATAATAAACAATACATTAGGGCATAGGATAAATAATACAACCAATGAGATCCAATTTTTAGAAATTACTATATTCACACTTTTTCTTGTGGCTAATTTAGAAAATAATTATACTCAGATCTTGAGATATATGAGCTACCTTTGAATGTCACAAAAAATATCATACTACTTAATTACATTATTAGCTGGGTGCTGGCAGCTCATGTCTGTGATCCTAACTACTCAAGACTGAGATTTGACAAGTTTGGTTCGAAGCTAGTCCAGGCAGGAATGTCTGTGAGACTTTTATCTCGAATTAGCCATAAAAAGTTAAAAGTGGAGCTCTGGCTCAAGTGGAAGAGTGTTAACCTTGAGCACAAAAGCTCAGAGATAGTAAGCATACTCTGTGTTCAAGCCTCAGGACTGGCAAAAAATACATTATTAATTATTGTGACATAACAAGTTTCTGAGATATATTTTGGCAGAACCCCAGATCAACTGGGAGGAATGCCACATTGCCAGAAACCACTGGTCATAGTATGAATTGCACTTGGATGAATGTAGTGTGCATCTCTCTCATGTGTCTCAGCTGGCCCTGACCATGAGAAGAGACAGTTTCCATCATCTGGGATTAATGAACAAATAAGTATTAGATAATGATAAGAATAATAAATTTACATATTATAATCTTATATTGTATGCATAGTCTGTATCTACAAATAAAGCTATGTTAATTAAAAAAGGAAATATAAGCCAATTGATGGTGATTCTATTTAAAAACAGCAGGTGTGAATATTTTCTTAATATCCCACTAACTTCCTGTAAGTACACCCAAAAAATGACAACACTCTTGACATTGAAATTTAGGAGACTTATGATCAAACTCCAGAGGCTTGGAGAATTTTTCGTAAGTATCAAGGCCAGTGGAGCTGATCTAAAAAAAACCCTCAATCAGTAGATCCCATATCATAACTTAGGAGAGTTAAAAAGGAAGGGAGAACTTTATTCCATAGTCCATTGCCTTCTGGCTCTGAAATTTGAGACCTAGCTTACAGAAAAGATGGAAAAGCTTTCCATCCACTGCACTGCAGATCATTAGAGTTTCTACCAGTCACCAAGTAGACAGTTACTTCAGAGGAGGATGACTGCAGTTTATTATCCATGAAGGCATTCTCTTGAGAGTACCTGGGGTATGATTAACAGCTACGGCAGGCAACCATAGCAGCTTATCCTTGAACAAACTGAGGGAAGATATGCTGGTTCAGGGACTAACTCTGAGCTTGAATCAATTTCTTGGATAGGTAGAAAGAAAGAATATCTTAAACAGGCCTTAAAAACAACAACAATACCATCACAGGTTAAGTGGTGAACACTGAGGTAAAAGACTTGACAATGGAGAACAGATGTATGAAAACAATTTACTGTGGCAGGCAGAGATCTGACTTATAAGCATTTTTTGAGAATTCAAATAGAACCAAACAAAGGCAATTAGTGTATGAAAACTGAGAATGAGATATAATTTAGTATTTTAGTTTAAAACTTGTTCAGAGTTAGGCAAAATAAGTAGAAAGAAACCAACACTAAGAAAGATCTTGGCAATTTGAAGTGCAGAGATAACTTTTATTGGTTGTACATTCTATAATCACTTACCTAGGAAAACTAATGTTAACAAATGTGAAGAGAGTTTCATTCTGTCATAGAAAAGTCAGCAGAAACAAGTACTATTTATCTGTACCAACAGTGCCATGTAGAAAAGGGGCTGGGAAGGTAGCTCAGTGGTAGAGTGCTTGCCTCGCATGCATGAGGTCCTGGGTTTGATTCCTCAGCACCACATAAGCAGAAAAAGCCAGAAGTGGCACTGTGGCTCAAGTGGTAGAACGCTAGCCTTGAGCTGAAGAACTCAGGGACAGTGTGCAGGCCCAGAGTTCAAGCCCCATGACACACACACACACACAAAAAGAAAATATAGTGAAATCATACTAGCAATAAAACAGTAAAATATTTAGGAATTAACCACAAATTAATAAAGCCTCTATGTTTTTAGGTCAATGAAGATTTAAATGAACCTTTTTATACTCTTAATAAAGGTCTATGTATACCTTAACCCATCTTAATAAAGGAGAGAAGATAGGTTATCCTACCATATGCTAGGGCAAAATACAATTTAAAACTGCGTGGCATTAGTATAAAATTAGGCAAACAGAAAAATGGAACAAAGCTCTCAGAGACAGGCAAAAGACACAAAACATATGACAAGAGTGACACTAACAATCCATGGGAAAAAGAAGAGACTTTCCAATAGATGGTGTGAGAAGACTAGTTATATGGGGGAAATCCTTATATAAATCCTTATATAAAACCACTTACAGGTGGATTCTAAATGAATTAAAGATCTAAATGCAAGAGGCACAATGTTAGTTCATAGAAGAAAATACAGGAGGATAGCTTTATGACCTAGAAACAAGGGAAATTCTTCTTAAAATTCCAATGCACAAAGTATAAGGGAAAAAACGATTATGACAAAATTAAGGATTTTGTTCAACAGGGCATCTTACACATACAGTTCATAAAAATGCTTATAGAGCCAGGTGCCAGTGGCTCATGCCTGTAATCCTAGCTACTCAGGAGGCTGAGATTTGAGGTTCATGGTTCAAAGCCAGCCGGGGCAAGAAAAGTCCATGAGACTCTTATCTCCAATAAACCACTCAGAAGACCAGAAGTGGCACAGTGGCTCAAGTGGTAAAGCACTAGCCTTGAGCTGAAGAGCTGGGGAACAGTGTCCAGGCACAGAGTTCAAGCCCCATGACTGACCAAAAAGAACCCACATATGGACTAGGACACATTTATAATATGAATAAAAAATTATTGGTTAGAATACTCAAGCATTTCTAATAAGAAAATTCTAAGTCTAGTAGAAAAATGAATAAAAATATGAATAGGCAGTTTACCAGAAAACCCCAAAAGCAAGCAAGTATTATGAAATGCTCAAATTCAATACTGATCAGGGGAATTGCAAAGAAAACAATAATGACATACCTTTGAACTTATTAGTCTGATAAGATGTTAACAGCAGTACTGATACAATGTGGGGCATAGTCTCCTTCCTACCCAGCGGGTAGGTGCAAGGTGGCATGCATTCTAAAGAGGAATCTGGTACTACTTATACCAATTAGGTATACAGGTTTTGCTATCACCCAGTAACTTTACTCTTAGGTATTTATCCCAAGGAATCCAGGCAAAGATATAAGATTGTAAGATGTGCATGTGTGATTTTTTTGCATGGTTTACATGGAAGCTATGAGGACAGGCATAGGGACTGAATGAACTCATGAATGACATGGGAAGGGGGACTTGAACAGCTCCATGATGGCAGGTACAAGTTAATGAGATGTGGAGTTTGCAACCACACCTGAAGTTAAGTGTTGGTGGCGATGTAATGATTAGGAGTCAGTCACAAACATGTTGGCACAATTTTTTAATTTAAGCAGTTGAGAGGGGAAAAAAGAGCTAACTACAAAAGCAAAAAAAATCATATGCTCTAGATATGTCTTCAACTTTAAATACAAGAAGACAAAATGAGGGCTGGGAATTTGGCTTAGTGGTAGAGTGTTCACCTAGTATGCATGAAGCCCTGGGTTCGATTCCTCAGTACCACATAAACAGGAAAAGCTGGTGTGGTGCTGTAGCTCAAGTGGGAGAGCACTTGCCTTGAACACAGAGAGGCTCAAGGACAGTTCCCAGGCCCTGAGTTCAAGACCCAGGACCAGCACACACACAAAAAGAAGACAAAATGTTTTCAGAATTTTGAGTATAATTTCAAACTGGGCAGTCAAGTTTGAATGTATGAAGGCCACACCATATACATAGATATATAAGATACAACATACAGGAACATTTCTTAAATTAAAAACAACTCAGGAAAACTTCAGAAACACAAAAGGAAGAACTTATACTTGTATATAAAAAACAAAAATTACCTTTTGTAGAAAGAGGACAATCCTTACAAGCATCTGGGCCCGGAGTTCTTCCAAGGTAAACAGTGTGCGGGGTGTTCTGATGAAAATTTTGGTCTTCCCATAAGCTACATCATCCTGAAAACCACATCGTTCTATCAGTTTCTTGACAGCCTCTTTGTCTGAAGGAAGGTCATGGTTTGGCCAGGTGAACTCAGAGATCATCTTATACCTAAAACAACAACAACAAAAACCCCAGGACAAATTAGGGGAGAAAAACTATATTCAATAAAACTGAAGAAGCCTCATAGAAAATAAAACATAACCTCCTAAAAAAAAAAAAAGTAAGCCCGGTGCTGGTGGCTCACATCTGTAATCCTAGCTACTCAGGAGGCTAAGATCTGAGGATTGCGGTTCAACGCCAGTCCGGGTAAGGAAAGCCCATGCAACTCTTTTTTGTTTTGGGTCCGGTCGTGGAGCTTGAACTCTGGACCTGGACGCTGTCCCTCAGCTCTTCAGCTCAAGGCTAGCACACTACCACTTGAGCCAAAGTGCTACATCCGGCTTTTTGCTTACGTGGTGCTGAGGAATCGAACCCAGGGCCTCATGCATGCAAGGCAAGTGCTCTACCACTGAGCCACCTTCCCAGCCCAGCCCATGCAACTCTTACTCCAAGTAACCACCAGAAAACAAGAAGTGATGCTGTGGCTCAAGTGGTAGAGTGCTTGCCTTGAGCTGAAGAGCTGAGGGACAGTGCCCAGGCCCAGAGTTCAAGCCCCATGACCAACC